CAATAATTCCATTCTGCTCTCTTCAGAGCACGGATAGGACGTAGACGATACCTTCCCACTAATAGCAACAAAAGCAACGACATAGAACAACGAACAACGTTTCGGTGCCGCACTTGTTAGGAAACATACGCCGAATTTAACACGCTGATTAACTCTTCTTGCGTCCCAGGAAATGACACTTCTAGCGTCTTATACCGAGCGGTTGCCCCACCCACAAGCGACACCCTTACTTTGTCTGGGAGTTCCACGGCGCATTCCATCTTATTGTTTTCAGGATTCTTTTTCTTATCCTTGATTTTACCTTTATTCCTGTTCTTCTTGGAAGGGCCGGCATTTGAGCATTCCACGACGGACGCAATGCCGTCCCTTGGCGTATGATGCTGCACCGTGCGCAGCCGCGCCAGTTCTTTCTCGATGATCGTCTGCATAAAGTCGATCAGTTCAGCGTTGGCTTTTCCCTCTGCAGGTGGTGCTCCGATGCGGACCTCCAGTGCCGCATACGTCACGGCAGGTTGACACGCCAGAGATGAACTTCTTCCGCCCGGCTTGGCGTGCACGGTGAGGTAAAACCGCCCCGGCCCTAACTGTGAGATGAAGGAAGTCGCCTTCATCCCTCTCTCTAAGCAGCAGTTACCAGAGCGCAAGAAGAAAACGACAGCCAGAAGAAAAAAGGAGGATAATTACGAGGAGAAGTAAAACACTCTTGGTAATTCCCCCCTCTCCGCTCAGAAAAAAAAAAAAAGAACGGGCGTTGCCTGGCGTAGCATCAACGAGTTTCAAAAACGTCCCATTCGCAACACAACGCAATATCCCATTCCACAAAACGGGATAGACCAACCCTCCCGCAACAACAAGAACGACAACAATACTCATAATAAGAACAACAATATATATATATATATATATGGACTGGCACTGGTAGGAGACAGAATAGGTGAAGTCACACAAAGTCAATTTGTGTGTGAGTAAAGGTCACCGACACTCTCAATGTTTCTGTTGCGCACGGGTATGACACCTTCTTCGTTCTCTGCGCCTTCTTGGAAGGAATAAGTTGGAACGGGGAAACGGGTACGACCAATTTCTTCCGGGTTTTTCTCCCGTTTTGGGTATGGGGTATCTGCGTAGACCATATCCGCTTCATTAGCTTCCTCCAGTAACTTTGGTGCGTCGCGAACCAAGGGTTCATTGATCTCGTGTGGCGTCGCAGGCCTTTCTTCAAAAACCGCCCGAACACCAAAGGGATAGTCCTTTTCATACACAAATCGACGAACATATTTTTCTGCCCTGTCTTCTTTCGTGGTCGTGGGGTGCATGATATCGCCAGGGAGAAGGACAGTGGCGACCTTGGTCTGGCTATGATGGTAGAGTGCGGGGAGAACAGAGCAATAGGCGCCGTGCGGTTTGCGCCTTGTCACATCCGCAAAGGTAGGACACTCGTTGCTAAGCTCCGATAGCGCAATAAGGTTAGGCGTAGGCATGTTCATGATACCTGCGTTGAACCTAGCCATGGCCTCCATGGGCGAAACCCACACGAGTTTCTCTCCCACCGTGCTAATCGTAAACCGCACGTCGGGCAGCTTTTCAAAAGGGACCAAATAAAGAAGGTTGTCAAAGCGAAACGTCTCCGTTGTTGGCGTGGTGATGCATCGAAAAGGCAACAGCTGCGACAGACACGTCTCCATGGGAAGCTCAAGTACATCCACAAGGTGCTTCATTGCCTTTGGTTGGGAGTGCACGAGTAGATGCCACTTCTTCGGCCCAGGCGGCCCTTCTACCTCTACAATCCCACCGCCTTCCTTGGGCACCAAAAGAATATTCATTTGCGCAAAAAGTGCACGCATCGCACAAAGTCGGTGATGCAAATCTGTCCATTCCGTCGTAACGCCACGACGGCGCAGAATTTTATCCCAGTCTTCTGAGGTATCCTCTAAACTGATGGGAAAAGACGGAAAAATAAACTGATCTCGCACAAAGCGGCTTTTTCCCTCACGGAACATCATCAACACCTTGTAGTCGTTGTCCTCACCTCTCTCTACCTTGTCAAGGGACACGTATTTGTTTTTGCCCACTACTATGGCTGTGGCTGCGCGGCGCGTAGGGATAGGAGCGCCAAGCTTTGGCTTCTCACCGTATTCGCGATCAGCCCATGGCACCGGTGTGGACCAGTAGTCCTTGAACTGTTCCTTGTACGGGCTCATCTGGACATCCATTTGAAGGTTCCGCACAGGCTTCGAGCGGAAGGACGGACTCTCGCCAGAGACGTTGAGTAATAGCCGGCGCGGTGTGCGTCGCAGCATCTTTATTTCACAATAAAAGATTATGGCGTTTTTTTTTTACTTGGCTCCTCCTCCTTGCCCGGCAAACTGCAGTCCGTCAGTGAAACACCCACCCACACACACACACACACACACACACACACACACCTACCAGAGATGACAACGAC